AAAGGTGAAGCCCTGTAGGTGGACTATCAGTCCCCCTAGGAAAGGTGAAGCCCTGTAGGTGGACTATCAGTCCCCCTAGGAAAGGTGAAGCCCTGTAGGTGGACTATCAGTCCCCCTAGGAAAGGTGAAGCCCTGTAGGTGGACTATCAGTCCCCCTAGGAAAGGTGAAGCCCTGTAGGTGGACTATCAGTCCCCCTAGGAAAGGTGAAGCCCTGTAGGTGGACTATCAGTCCCCCTAGGAAAGGTGAAGCCCTGTAGGTGGACTATCAGTCCCCCTAGGAAAGGTGAAGCCCTGTAGGTGGACTATCAGTCCCCCTAGGAAAGGTGAAGCCCTGTAGGTGGACTATCAGTCCCCCTAGGAAAGGTGAAGCCCTGTAGGTGGACTATCAGTCCCCCTAGGAAAGGTGAAGCCCTGTAGGTGGACTATCAGTCCCCCTAGGAAAGGTGAAGCCCTGTAGGTGGACTATCAGTCCCCCTAGGAAAGGTGAAGCCCTGTAGATGGACTATCAGTCCCCCTAGGAAAGGTGAAGCCCTGTAGGTGGACTACCATTTACTAATATTTACATTTGCCCCCGCGCCGTCCCATTACAACAGTGTTAGAGGGCAAGTATAATTATATAGGCTATAATTACAACTGCTCGACTATAATTACAACTGCCTGTTTCAGGTGTAGGGATATGTAAACAAACAAAATGGCCGCCTGAAATGTATTTTGAGGCAGGGCAAATGGTTTTTGTATGAATATGTCTTAAAAAAGAAAAATATGTTAATATAAAAAAATACCTGGTTGTCTGGCGGGTTTTATGGGATTTACCAGAGGCCACTTGTAATTATATCAACAATAATTACATCCAGACAACCAGTTATTGTTTAAATATAATACATTGCGTTGTTATTTTTTCATCATAATAAGTTATCGAGTTAGCTCTTATAATATGATACAAAAGTGGAAGTTTTAGCCAAAGTATTCATGGTTTCAACATTTTCACAGTGACAATCCTGATGCCTCAGGAAATATTTCATTCTGTGTCGGTAACCTTCGCGAGTGGCTGTGGTTGCGCTGATAAAGTTGACATGAAATCAGAGGTTATTTATACAGCGCGAAATGTTTCTTTAAGCTGATTACTTTAAAAAAATGACCACTGTATACAATATGATGTGTACAAGAAAAGATTTTAAAATTCATCCCCGAGATATATCAACCAGTGGCATATGTGTCGTATCTGTATTATACTGATTGGATGATTGACGGAAACCTACCAATGACGTGGACATCATATTTAGGCCAGTAAAAATATCCTGTCTAATCCTGTAAATCTCTAACGAAGTCACCCAATTAATGCCTGTCTCCAAGTACTGTCAAAAGATTTAAAGTAATCGCACTGACCTACATATTGCCCCAACGAAAACATTTCCATTAAAGTATCATAAATATCTTTTAAACGAATGATGCATGATCCCCCAATAACAGGTGTTACACATGTAACTTTTTTTTTAATATATATAATATCATATATAGGTCTCATAAGTAATAACGACAGTATGATCCAATATTGGCACTGGATCCGAACAAATAAATATTTGCTGGATGCATGTTACTTAAGGTTACTCGACACATCGTCATCAGCGGCCATTTTCATGACGTACTTCCGAAAAAAGTACAGCGAACCGAATATTTCCGAGCGAAATGTGCCCATACACCGTAAAAAATAACTCTCCAGCTTTGAAAAATACAAAAACATACTCAATCACTTGAACGCTTTACTTTAATTTCGTTTTCGCCAATGTTTTCAAAGGACCGAAGAAACACTGAGTGTGTTACGTTGCTAACGTCCACAATAGGTATTGGGTAATCATAGGAAACACAATAGTTAAATTTCAATGTTTTTTATCCATTTTTTCGTGGTGTGTTGAGCCACCTTAAACAGATGCATGGTCAAAGAAGTAATAATGACAGTGCTGAAAAACAAACAAAAATAAACGTCGATGACGCCACACTAAGTCGACACCTTATTTAAAGTAGGAAGTCTAGGTAATGTGATATAGGTAATATCATATACGTATATGTATAAATATCCTTGACGGAAGAAAGTACCAAAGACTCGTTGTTGAGATTTGTTTGAGATATATATGGGTATATAATAAGAAGTAATAACGACAGTGCAGAAAAAGAAATTTGTCAAATTTCCAGGGCGATCCGCCCCTTGATCAAGACAGGAACATGAAACTTTGCATATCACTACATATAACATACAAAACAGTCACCATGAAACAATAATATAATCCAAAATACGTCAATAAACAGAAGTTACTTATATAAAATATGCTGTTGTAAATGCATATCCCCTCGCGATCGGTTAGCTTGTAACAGAAGGCTAATCATAGTAAATAATTCATCTTGAATACGTGAGGTCAAGTGAATTTAAACTAAAAATCTGAACGAATCTGTATATATATATTAAGACACTTTTAACAACCCCAGATCTAAGTTTGAATACAAATGAAAGGAAAAGGACTATCAATCACCCGTGGGAGGCAATAAACTTGCAAACCTCTAATCCTATAACGTAAAACCCCTTTCTTACGCGTACAGGTCACTGTTCTAGGCAAAATGCGAACAACGGGATTTTATTAAATTATCAAATTGTTGATATTTTAAGACAGCAACTGACCCAATCGGCAACAATTTTCAAGCTAAGTTAGGAATGAGTTCCGAACTCTGGTAAACAATAATCACCGCGACGAGGATTCCAAAAACCTCTGTGGGGCATTCATTTGGAGGATAAACAATAATTTTGTGACGAGTTCGAGAAGCAGTTTTACCAAAAATATCTCGAATTGACGTATGCTAATTCGGTTATGAATGACAGGACGTGAGAGTGGAGCTTGCGGGCCCATCCGTCACGAGGAAATTGATCGTAAACAAATGTCAGCTCGACTCGGGTTGTTGAGCTGGACAGAAGCTACAGAGTCAGCTTATTATACGTTTAGGTTCGGGGTCGTGCTCTTGGTATCAGCTTATTTCATGTTGGTGGCCGGGGTCTAAATGTCGGCTTATTTCGAGGTCAGTGAATCCGTTGTTGTAGTTGTATTTCGTGTTGATAGCCCGGTTGGGATGTTAGTTTAATTCGATTTGGTAATGCGGTTTATTTTAAGTTGGAAGTCCGTGTATTGTGTCTGCTTAGTTAGTCTAATGTGTAATGGTCTTGGTCGGTGTGTACTCTTATCTTATTTAAGGTCAGCAGTCAGGTCGTGTTTAAATCTCTTTAACCCAAACAAACATTTTATTATAAGTGTTAGTGATCACGTGCCTGGACCACGTGTCCGTCTGTAATGGTAGGTGTTGACCTTGTTTATTAACTGTAGTGTACCGTCTTACCTAATTACGTACTCCGTGGTTTAGTTTACGTAATAGTATATTATACATGGCCATTTGTTACAGTTGAGTGTGGTCATTGTGCCGTTTCTAAAATAATAGCTTTGCCTTTCAGGTAAGTCTTCGCGTGAGATGTATTTGTAACAAGGTTTATTATTGGGTTTAGCGGATCGGTTTCGTAATTTGATGACGGTATCCCTGAGACGGTAATTGCAATTGGTTAGCCTTTTGTAGAGTTTTGAGCCTTTTTGTTTTCTTTGCAAAATTGATGGTGATTGAACACCAAGTATTCTGCCATAGTTCGGCGTGGTGAATGGTCACATTTTAACTGGGATAGGTTCGGAGTTTAGAAAATTGTTTATAAGCTAACTAAACCACAGTACATAACGAATAAGTCAAAAAAGGCCTCAATGTCATTACTGAAGTCAGATCTTGGCTGAGGGAAAGATACCATGACCTTTATAAATGTTAGGTTAGGACCTAACCGACAATAACACGAATGGAGGAGACACCAAAACAAAAAGGAACGCCATCAGAAGCGGGGACGAAACTAAGACCAAAAGAAAGCCATCAGAAGCGGAGAAGACACTAAGACCAAAGGAAAGCCATCAGAAGCGGGGAAGACACTAAAACCAAAAGAAAGCCATCAGAAGCGGAGAAGACACTAAAACCAAAGGAAAGCCATCAGAAGCGGGGACGAAACTAAGACCAAAAGAAAGCCATCAGAAGCGGGGAAGACGCTAAAACCAAAGGAAAGCCATCAGAGGCGGGGACGACACTAAGACCAAAGGAAAGCCATCAGAAGCGGGGACGACACTAAGACCAAAGGAAAGCCATCAGAAGCGGGGAAGACACTAAAACCAAAAGAAAGCCATCAGAAGCGGAGAAGACACTAAAACCAAAGGAAAGAAAACAACACAAACGGAAGAGATCCCAAAACCAAAGGAACAAAGGCGATACCAAAACAACAGGAAGGTCATTCCGAATTCATCACATCCAAAGACGAGAAGAGAAACCAGGTGGTAGGCGCGGGTAACCATTTCAGAAGTAGGACTCATAGCTTAACGTTATTGGTTATGGCATTATATAGGGTCTGTACTTGAATGCCTATTTTCTCTTATCATGCAAGATAATCGAAAATAATAAAAAGTTAGATATATTCCCGTTCTGAAATGTTTTAGGCACGATCCTTTATTGAGTGATTATCGCTTTGATGTCGTGAAAACCAAATCATTTCGTATCGTTCCAAGTTTCATTATGTGTTGTGTAGGTTTTATCAATTAAAATAACATATTTAAGTCTAATTAGTAGCAATTATTTTCTCGTCAAGAACGTGGTAAACTTGTTTTTTTTCTTTAGATTTATAAATGGTTCAAACAGCGTAGCATTTAATTAACTTTAAACAATCTCTCATCGTCGAATTATGTCACCCGCATGATTTCCTTAATGTACTTCTGGGCCTTTGCGTCAGGCTAATTTCTAAAGTACAGTACTCACCGCTGAAATGGAACCAGAGGTGTTGTTCTCTCAGCCTTCTTATGTCAGTTTTCTTTACCTACAGATAAAGAAATAAAAACATAATCAAATAAACATATTTCCTGTGAACGTTGCAAGAGTAGTCATGAGTTTGATTTGATCTGAATCCTAACATGGATCAAGATCTTGCTAATTTGTTATAATCAGAGAAATAATCGTAATATTTTATCAAAATTTGGTGTCGCCAACAGTGATTCTTTAAGATGAGAAGCAACCATTATCACCTTCTGAAAGATATCTGTACGTGTCTCGTTAATCTGGTGATTATCTAACGGCTTCTGCAGTCACATTGCCCGTTGTTGGAGCTGTTGCGTAGCTAAGGGATCGCAGACTTGGCTGACAATGGCGGATATTAGAACAATGACGCCACACCTAACAGTGTTGCTATGTTGCATTTAAAGCGATAATCTTGTTAAGTCACTTACTTCTATCACTGTCTGGCTCTGAACGAGTACAGATAAGGTTGCCATTACACAAATTAAACCTTTTGTATGGTCAATTGATGTGCTACATTCTTGACGTGAGGTATTTTATCGTTGTCCGTTCGTCAGTCCAAATGTATTAGACTTTGTCTTAACCGCTACGAATGAACGGATGATGGCATATTAATTATACAGAGGCAATTTCAAGCCAAGTTACTCAGAACACTTTTGGTTTGAACTGCAGTATCACATGTGCAATGGTTGAAATGCCACAGGGCAAATTGAGTTCCGTTTGTAGTACTACTTTCAGCATTAATTTTGCATTATCTTCAAAAGGAGACAGAATGCGAAATTGGCATCCTTTTATCACATCGTCACAGCGGACAGAATGGAACGGTGTTATTACATCATATGGTTTCCCTCGTATAAAGATAATAAAAAGACGCTCAGGACGTGTACTCAGAGTGGTCTATACACTTTTAATGTCGCGGAAAGACAAATACAGCTGCTTTTAAAGATGTTTCAGACGAACAGTCAGACAAACTGGACACCGTTCGGACGTAATGTGTCACCCTGAGTGACAACCCTCTTGTCACCAAAAAGAAAAAAAGAAAACGTAACTGTGATAGCTTAGATGTGGTTATTTTGGTCAACTCAGTTTCTATTTAAATGTTAAACCAGAAGTTAGTATTCTCATGTATCTACAACATCGCAGAATTGATATAAAAGGGAAACAGATGATTTGACATCATTCATATTCTATGATAGAAGTCTACACAGAAAATTGAAAATAAAGAATAAAGTGAATGCAGAAATACCCATTAAATACGACAAAATACCGAGGAGCCACCAAAACCAACGGCATAATGAACTCCGACGAACAAAACCGGAAGTAAAAACCTGCTGGTACCACATGCGGCGCGCCAAGCATGATTTTTTCCGTCAAATAAAAAGGAATGTCATTTAAGGACGTGCTTCCATGTGTGTAATATGTGTGTTTGATGGAGGTGGTCTTTGGATGCATCTGCTTCCTTGTTAAAACGCGAATATGATAAACTTTATAGTGTTACCTCAATGAAATGCCATGCCGTAAGAAACCTCAGCGTAAAATTCACCCTGTCACATTATATAAAAACGCGTTTGAGAAACAAATTGTTGCGATTTCCCTAAATCCTAAACGATTGTAGGACACGAAGCCTGAGTTGGTAGTACAAAATACATATCTGTTATCAAAGTATCTGATGGATGAATGAGATACAATTTGCTTGTGATTGCCAGTTTCTTTTCAAAGACAAAATACCAACTATATATATATTTGAAAGTAAAACACTTGAGTGTGCCTCATTAGCAACTGCTTTACTGATACAGACAGACTTGCCGTGTTGCACGTGGAGAGGACTACAAACGCTCTGTTCGAAACATTCTTCCACTAACTAGCAACAAATCTGAGATCGACTAATTTATATCTATGTCTAGACGTCGCCGATATACTAAATTTATTAAACGATATTTAAGTTTAATAATAGAAGCATTGTTTTAAATACAGAGAAGTCAAAGGTTTTCTCCTAATTTATCTTAGATAATGACAGGAGTGCAAGGTTTGGAGGTTTTATTTTAAATGTTATTACAATATACAACTGTTTTTTGTGAGAGAGCTTTTTTGCAATATAGAAACCCAATATGGCAAATAAAAATACAAGGTAAGCTAAATCAGATAGAGCACACATATATTATTAATCTATAGAATGGTGATAAGCAGGATAACAAACCTAACTCTTTCCATTCCGGTTAACTAACTGTATACCCAGGACTTTTCGCTGTGGTTTAATTTTCGCCTTTGGCGCCCTCCGCAATTAGGGCGAATTTATCATGACAGCGAATAATCATACACAGTTTACCCCCTATATAGTAATAACATGTAAAGGGCGAAATTTACACTGGGTGAACATATATTTCATCAGTAAAGGGCAAATATTTGACTAGGCGAACGTTATCCTGGTATACAGTGATAGCATTTACAGACAAAGATGATACTGTTTGTAACATTGTTGGCTGATACCACTTCACGTAGTCCTTGATATTGAATAAATATGCATTGACAGTAAGGTCTAGTAAAACAGACTGTTATGCCATTTATAATCTTGCCCAGTCTAAATGTAGGAGTCCGTATGATGCCTAATAGTTTTAACCGACTAAGAAATGGAACTCCTGTGTACTCCTCTCTTTGTAAATGTTGTAGCCGAGTGTTGTCAACAACATCCCTCAGGATTGTGAAATTAATTTTCCAGTTGATTGATGGTGCTTCACGATATTTAGGGGGTTTAGGAAGATAACCTAGCAGTTGTTATTAACACTGATGTTGATGTCGACCATTAAAGACTTGACGATTGTACTTTTACATCACGGGGAAGTGAGAGTGTCCTAAGGCCATCTAACAGGAACTGTTACTGCCCTCGTTAAAGTTAAAAAGATAAAACGTTGGGGTGCAATGCTTTTTATACTTGTATTTTGATTATGGAATGGAAAGCGCACTTATTGATGATGCAGGATGTTACTGATGTTGATAAGATAAATTGAGATCGAAAAGAAAGTCGAATCTCTGGTCTGTGTGGATAGTTATTACTCGTGTATTTTTGAAGATTTAGTTTTTTGCATTTTGCCTGATAATGTTACAAAACGTGTTCTTTTTAGAAAACAACAGCAGTTTATTCTTGATTGGGAAGCATATTTGTCTTCTTATCTGTTCAGTCATTGAATATTTATAGATGTGACGACAATGCCCAGGAATGGGAAGTATATTTTTCTCTCTTCTACTGTTAGAATGCAATCATTAAACAATCGATGTACATTGTAACCCACTCAATCTGTCATTGATAAACGATGTTATACATAATAGTGCGAACAAAATTAAATTTAGCGATGAACAACAATATTAGGATTAGATATAAGCTGTAATATTGCACAAGTATAATAACCAGATGTTAAATTAATACTGTACTATAGATACATATGAGCTTAAATATACCGTTGTACTTATACTAGCATAGACGTAATACAGCATCCATCATACATTGTACTTGTAACATTGTACTTCATCATACATTGTACTTGTAATATAGTTTCCATCATACACTGTACTTGTAATATAGTTTCCATTATACACTGTACTTGTAATATAGTATCCATCATACATTGTACTTGTAATATAGTTTCCATCATACACTGTACTTGTAATATAGTTTCCATCAAACACTGTACTTGTAATAAAGTATCCATCATACATTGTACTTGTAATATAGTATCCATCATACATTGTACTTGTAATATAGTATCCATCATACATTGTACTTGTAATATAGTATCCATCATACATTGTACTTGTAATATAGTATCCATCATACATTGTACTTGTAATATAGTATCCATCATACATTGTACTTGTAATATAGTATCCATCATACATTGTACTTGTAATATAGTATCCATCATACATTGTACTTGTAATATAGTATCCATCATACATTGTACTTGTAATATAGTATCCATCATACATTGTACTTGTAATATAGTATCCATCATACATTGTACTTGTAATATAGTATCCATCATACATTGTACTTGTAATATAGTATCCATCATACATTGTACTTGTAATATAGTATCCATCATACATTGTACTTGTAATATAGTATCCATCATACATTGTACTTGTAATATAGTATCCATCATACATTGTACTTGTAATATAGTATCCATCATACATTGTACTTGTAATATAGTATCCATCATACATTGTACTTGTAATATAGTATCCATCATACATTGTACTTGTAATATAGTATCCATCATACATTGTACTTGTAATATAGTATCCATCATACATTGTACTTGTAATATAGTATCCATCATACATTGTACTTGTAATATAGTATCCATCATACACTGTACATGTAATATAGTACCCATCATACATTGTACTTGTAATATAGTATCCATCATACAATACTTGTAATATTGTACTTCAAACATAGTTAACCATATAGTTCTCTACAAACAACCCTCATATAACAATGTACTAGAAAAAACTGATATGTGTAATACTAGCCTAAATGCAACACGGTATTACAAACTATCTGATGCATTGGGTATTTGAAACAATTTGTGATGTAACAATGTACAATTAACAAGCTTATTCATAGCATTGTACATGAATTACAGACAAACCTAAATACATGTACAACACTGGGATACAAACAAGCTGAAATATTAAATGGTGCTACAATCAAACTTAGATACAGCATTGTATTATAAGGAAGCTCTATCATTTTAACATTTTTACAAAAAGAACGTTTTATTTGGAATTGACTATTGAAGTTTTTCTGTGTATTTTGTCTTCATTTTGTTTGTCACCAATCGTTTATGTTGTCTTGTCTCTTTATGACACACAGAACACCGGTTTGTAACGGTTTCATCGAAAACAGATGTTTAATTGATAACAGAAAATAACAGTAATCGCTTGCCCTTTTTTCTGCTGACAAAGAAAATGAACGGCCTCCATCAATATTAAGAGAAGAATTCAATATAAAATCGGACGTAA